CTGATTTCTGCGACTCACACAGGAAGATGATACACTTGTTGAGACACAAGATGGGACCCTTAGATCCTTGCCCTGGTGAAAGGAAAAAAGAGGCAAACACTGGAGATACAAAGGGGGGGGGGGGGGGAAATAACATTGGTGGCTTCTAAGCAGTCCAGCTCTTAGCCAGTCGAGGCTTGGTGACTACTTGTTTTGCAAGCAGAAAATAAAAATACAGCGTTTCTAGCAACAGCTAATACAACACTAATGACCTTGTATCCGAGAAACAGTCTGTCCTTCCTCTCAGTCACCTGGACCTGAATCACTTATCTTCAGCATGTAGAAAAACAGAACAATTACAGTGATTATGGTCAAAAAATAAGTTTTCTTTCCAGCTTTCACCTGTGGTGAGGCCTGTGGTCCTGCTAATAAATATAATAATCCTTGCATTTGATGTAGCACCTCAGTGGCTTGGGATGTCCTTAGGACGTGAAAGGCACTATACAAATGTAATTTTGTTGTTGTTATCACGTCTTCGAGATGTCTCAAAGCCCTTCGCAGAATATACTTCAAAGTGAATTGACTGCATATTTTGGGGGCAAAAAACACCTAAAAATGCAAGTTGTTTTTGTTTCATTCCCTCATGTTAAGAATTACACATCTCAGCTGTAAGCAGCCGTTCGGGGCTACAATTGTCACACCTGAGCAAAGGTTAGAGCAAATCAGTCAGACAGGGTATCGCGATCTAAATGTTGCTGGTTTGAGGCAACTAACTCAGACTGTAGGGGAATCATTAGCGCTCACTACGTCCTGGGTTTTAGGGAGAGGTGTCTCTATGTGGCTGGGATGAGCTGGCTAAAGATAATCATGCCTGGCAATGGAATAGTGGAATCAAGGCAAGTCTCCGAGGTGGTCTGGTTCCTGAACCAGGCAGTGTACAGTACGTACGGCAAGGCATAAGGCACTGTTAATGAAGGACCAACCAGCCTGGCTCGGCAGCAAGCCTGGAAGGAGCAGTCTGATCAATTGAATTGAATTGAATCCCACTCGCTCCCAACATATCAATGAATATGTACAACTTTCAGTAACTGGTTGGGATACTGCTAAGCGTGGTGATGGGTTGGTGATGGGTTTCCATGTGTGCCAAACCCTGGCTGATCAAAAACAACAGGACATTTGGCTGCAGTACTACCATCTGGCTATGAGGTGGTGCTGTTTGCTGCTTGTAAATTACACAGATAACAAGAATAGAAGAAAGCTTCAATACAATACAACACAAAAAAATACAATATAATAGGGTAAAACTAACCTGTCCAACAATGGCCTAAATTAAACCTGGGGTCTCCAACCGGTCAATTGCTGCTAGAGGAAGGAGCGATAGAACCGCGTTATTATTGAGTCAAATTGAAAACGAATCCAGATGCACAAAGTATTTCATGCATCTCAAAATAAAAACATAAACCTTAATGTTTAAACTGCAGTGACTATCACTCCTGCCTGTTGCTTTAATTGAGCATGTGGTTGATACATTTTGTCCACAAAATATGCAGTCAATTCACTTTACAGTGTATTCTGTGAAGCGCTTTGAGACGCCTCAACTATGTGATAAAGCGCTGTATCAAATACAAGGATTATTATTATTATTATGCCACCTAGGAACCAAGGCAGGAAACTTTAGGCCAGTGGCACACCATACCTACTGAGCCATTAGACAAGCTGACCATCTTTGACTGTTTATCAACAGTTTCCTGTGTTTACAGGAGGGTGGAACTGAAGTGAACACAGTTATTATCAGTCAAGGACTTTGTAAAATGCCTGTGAAATTCAAGATATTTGATATCAGCCACATTACCTTCACCCGGACTATCTCCACACGCTCCAAGGCATTGGTTCAGCACAGCCTACCCTTCAGGAAGCCACACGATATGTACCTTCTGACCCCAAATAATTTTGAAATCTTCTTTGATAGTATGTTCCGGTATCTTACGCATTGCTGCTTCCTCTCTTTCATTAATTACAAGTACGATTCTTTTAGCTTGCTCTCAGTAGGAACAGCAGTAAGGGTGCTTCGATTGGCCTTGATACCTCTGGGATTTGGAGGGAGGAGGGTGGGGGGAATAAGACACCATTATTGCTGCAGTGCAAAATAAAATAACAATCCTTGCATTTAACTATAAATGTCAGGAATTATCTCAAAGTGCTTCATAATGTTTCTGTAGAGTGTATACCCTGTATATAAACTGCCTACTCTCCCTGTATCCCTCTGCCTTGCTCACTCCTTCCCCATCTTCAGGTCGTTCCTCTTCAACCATGCCTACAATCCCCCCCCCCTCAGCTTGGCGTCGTGCACGCTCTGCCAAGGTTCAAGCACTTTGGGACGCTCCTCTGCTACTTAAGTGCAAGTTGTTGCGGTTGTCTGTGGGCGCAGGCAATTTGCGCTTCTGCACTAACTATGCTTTTGGCCGCGGAATGGAGTTGCAGACATCTGAGCGCACCTCCAGGTAAATTCACCTGAGAAAACGCATCGCTCTGCTTCCCTAACAGTGACCCAGAACCTTGGGGTTTTCTTCCCTTTACCCCCAGATGGAACCAACGAGCTGATAGCGGGACAAATGTTGACCTCGACCAGTAGGGGGCGGCGTTTGATACGTGTTTTCGGTTTCCCTTTGTACTGTATTGACTTATGAAATTTGTTTATAACTGAGTCCAAACACTTTAACGGCTATTGGAGCTTCTTGTGAGTTCTCTGTGAAACCTAAACAGTTTTTTTATATACAGTCCTTGCGCACAATGAACACCTAGATGCGGAATATCGGTAACAGATATGTACACAGAATATATTATAACAGATAAATATAATAATAATCCTTGCACTTGATATAGCGCTTTTCATGTCTTCTAGACGTCCCAAAGCGCTTCACAGAATATACTGTAGAGTGAATTGACTGTATATTTTGTGGGCGAACGCAGCAGCCAATTGCGCACAGCAATGTCCCACAAACAGTCGTAGATTGAAAATGACCAATTTATTATTGTTTTTCTTTGGAGGGATTATTATTAGGCTCTGTGTGGAGTAAGGAAACTTGCCCAAGGTTTCGCCCTATTACAGATTACAAAAATGCGCAGAACATTTGCTATATAAATATATATACAATATATATGCAACAGGACGATATATAATACAAGATGTAAATTAAATTGTGTGCAAGATCAGAAATACAACAGATGATAGGAATTTGTCAGATTTCCTGTGGGAACTTTCAGAAACTTTTGTGTGATTTAGCCCCCTACAGATTTACACTTTAAAGGGTAAGGATACCCTATACTTGTAACTTAAGTTGTAAACATACAGTGTGCAACATGTGACAGTGTGCATTACAGAGCCGCTTATTCAAATGCCAACATGGGGAGTTCACGATAATAATAATAATAATCCTTGCATTTGATATAGTGCATTATCACGGCGTTGAGACGTCTCAAAGGCACTTCGCAGAATATATTTGTAAAGGGAATCGACTGTGTGGTTTGTGGGCGAAACCATAGAAAAAAAAACATAACTCCCTTTCTGACTAAAGTCATTCCAATTATTCTCCCTCCCTCTCCCTTCCCTCCCTGTAGATTTTGCAGAAAGGATAATTCCCTTCCCTGCAAACTTTTTAAAAGAAATGTCCTTTGCATGTGTTTCTGTTTATGTGGCAGATGCGATTCTAAGATACTACAGCAGATGGAGTTTACCCGAACCCAGAGCTGCTGTGAATAAAAGAAACAGCCAATGATTATTTTTCGAGCTCATTGTGTTTTTTCTTTCTGAAACAAACAAACATACACTGTGTACTGTTAAAGGGTTGAAGTACATCCAGTACCGCTTTGTACCACAGGTAGCAAAAGTATCTGGCTCCTGCCAGGAAACGATTGCAAAAGTTTTAATATTTTAGTTTCACCTACTTTCCCCTTAATATCAAAGCCCCCAGCGAATTATTGCTACTGTTTATTCCTACTTACATCGACTCACTGCTATCAGTCTCGTTCAATCAACGCAAAGGGAGAGAGAGAGAGAAGAAAAAAAACTTTCTGAATGGGTTTGGGGATCTTGGAACATTATTTAATGTTTAAAAATATGTGCGTGGCTTCGAGTCAAGGTTACATTCTGGAAAATAACACTGCCTGGATGTTCCCCTGCGGTAATATCTGTGCAATCCAATGCAAAGCACTCATTCAAATTCCCAATACAGATAGCAACCATTCCAGTTTAGGGTTGCAGAAAGGACATTTTGGCTGCTGCCTTGCCAGACAAAATCTGGCTCACTTAGAATCAGCACAAAGGAGATAGTTGTTGTTTTTTTTTGGGGGGGGGGAAGGTGGGTTGGGATGTTTGAAAGCCATTTAAACCACATCCCAAACTTAAGCCTGTAAAACACCAGTCACTACACTTTACAGCACATCCCTGTGAAGCGCTTTGATGTGTCCCTCCGACATGAAAGGCACTGTATGAAACGTAAGGACGACTATTATAATCACTACAATTTGGTCACTCAACCCACGACTGTTTGCGGGACGCCGTTGTGCGCAATCGGCTGCCGCGGTTTGCCCACAAAATGCACAGTCGCTTTGAGACGTCCCGAAGACGCGATGAGGCGTAATGATATCAAATGCAATTACAGATTATTACAACCATTGGGTTATTTGCAGGGACCGGACTGGCAAGGCTGCGTGGGGGAGGTTTATCTGCTCAGTCAGTATCGCGAGCTGCAAACCTTCCCCTACCACCAACTTCACCCCACCGGCCAAGATGATTCTGCGAAAAAAGAAAAAAAAGAGAGAAACAAGGAATTTCCCAGTCAAGGCAAAACAGGCAGTCATGTAACAGTGTGTATGTGTGTGGGTGTGTATGTGGGTGTGTGTGTGGGGGGGGGGAGGCATAAATTAACACACATTACCAATGCCTTAACCAATTGCAGGGTAAATTTCTAATGAGGGGGCGTTCACAGTCTGGAAGGTATAAAAGGAGATGCAGCTTTGACTCAAACTACAGATAAAGATACAAAGCTTCAGATCTCACACCAGAAACCCTTTGGATTCTTCTCTTCTCGAACTGGGGATTGTTACTCACTTGTTTCCTTTGCACAACGAGAACTCAACGTGTCTGTTTTGTTCCTCATCTCTCTTTTTTTTAAAAAAAAATATTTTTTTCCAAAGAAAAAAAGAAGAGAACCTATTTGGATTTACTTGCTCCCAAACATGACTCTGGAGGAAATCACTGGGACTGACAACACAAGCAAAAAGTAAGTTAAGAGTGTTTTTTTTGTGGGGGGAAGATAAAAGATGCTGTTTCTTTTGGACCAAAGGGGTATTTTTTTATTTTATTTTGGTGGATGGATGCAAACTGGGGTTTAAGACTGGTTCAGTGTGGGGTAACTCACACAGTGTGTGGAGTGTGGAGTGTGTGTGTGGAGTGTTTGCAGCTTTTAAGCTGTGTGTGTGTGAGTATGTTTCCAAGTGTTATCTCACCAGGATTTCTAATGCATTGCCTCTCTCTCTCTCTCTCTCCAGGATGCAGACCATTGATCAAGCTTTGGAAGAATTGCTGGTCGCTGCTCAACGACAGGACTGTCTCACAGTCGGGGTGTACGAATCAGCCAAGTTAATGAATGTGTAAGTATTATGCAACTTTGGAGAGAGGGAGAGAGAGAGAGAGAGGGAGAGAGAGGGAGTGCAAAAAAAAAAGCAATAGCAAATTGCAACCCATCATTAATAAAGTGAATGGTTGTCTAACAGATCTCTCCTCACCACCCACCCTGTCTCTGCAGAGATCCTGACAGTGTTGTGCTGTGTTTGCTGGCGGCTGATGAGGAGGACGAAGGGGACATCGCTTTGCAGATCCACTTCACCCTGATCCAGGCTTTCTGCTGCGATAACGACATCAACATCGTGCGGTTGCGAGGAGTCACTCGTTTGGAGGAGCTGTTGGGGGTCGGGGAAGAGGGTTCTGAACCCAGGGACATGCATTGCATCCTTGTCACGGTGAGAATCTCTCCCTGTCCTCTTAGCTTGCAGGATAATTATTATTATTATTATTACTTATGGGGTGCAATTCTAATGCAATCGTTGCAAACAAAAAAAAATCATCCTCATACTGCGATAAATAATAATTGCATTTGATCTGCAAATGATCTTTTTTTTAAAAAAAGACACCCAAAGAATTTCCTATTTAAATTTCAAACGTCTTGCGGTGTTCGCCCACAAAATGAATTCGAGACCAATGCATTTTAGACTCCGGCGAAGCGCTTGGAGGAAGTCGCAACGCTGGCAATAAGGCGTTATGTCCAATGCAAGGATTATTATTATTATTATTATTACCAAATTATTATTAATACCGAATAAAACGAAGCGGGTTGAGGGGAAATAAAGCAAAGCCGCAATACTTTATTATTAATTTACATTGATTTATTTTAGTGGTGGGTTGAAGGTTTTAATAATAGTAGTAGTGGTGGTGGTTGATGGGTTAATGGTTTTGCAGGCGTGGAACAGTGTGCTCAGTTAAAAGCTGGTTTGCCTTGTGACTTGACTGACTGGAACTGACGTGGTGATTACCGTGACGTGTTTGTAACGTCGGAATTTTTTTTGTCTTTGTCTATTTGCAGAATTCTCACACCGATGCCTGGAAATGCGACGCTCTGGAAGAAGTAGGAAGCTACTGCGAAGAAAGCAGAAGCAAGAACCAGTGGGTCCCTATTGTGTGTCTGCAAGAGCGCTGAAGACGGAAAAGAGTGCTGTGTTTTTTTTCCCTCACACACAAAAAAAAAAATGACCCACGAAGCAGAGATTGCGAATGGGGTTGAAATATCGTTGTTTGCAAAGCTAAGAAAAAAAAATCAAGGCTGATTTGAGAAGGCTGTGGATTCGGGCGCTCAGACTGACGGGGAGCTGAGCAGCAGAGGGACAGAGGGAGAGTGGTTTGTGCTAGAACCTGGATCTGATTCAGAGCAGAGTTGAGAGGTGAAAGCGTGTCTGGAGTGGACTGCGGTCGTGGCTACGAGGACTGGAAAGGAGTTGTGGAGCCAAGCAAACAAAAGGAGCCCTTAAGCCCACTGAACTGAAGGAAATGTTAACAGTGTGAAGCGGGCGGAGAGAGAGAGAGAGAGAGAGAGAGAGTCAAGCTGTTTTGAAGGCGGAAGCTTGTCGGCATTGTTTTTACCCATTGGAGGAGACTTGTAACTGTGTCAAGGACTCGACCTGAAATGAACACCGTATGTTTCAGTGCAAGACGTCGCTTACTTGCATTGAATCTCGAACTATATATAAAAAAAACTTTATCAAGAGCTAGACTGGACTGTGCAATTTTCAACTTAACATCTATACTTGTGTCGGATTGTCTTTTAACTGGGCGTTTTGTTTATGAATAGTGCCTCGGTTTCTTGTTGATTTTGTGTGTTTTTTTTTCTCTAGCTTCTTGTATGCTCTTTCTTTCTTGTTGCATTTGCAGTGACACAATAAAACCATTTTAAAGTTGAAATACAATACACGTTTGGTCTAAATGTCTGGTCGGTGCAACCAACTTGCTATTCTCACAACGTAGTGAGAACAGCTGGTTTACGTGACCCTTTTACACATCATTTAGGAGTCGAAGGGATGCATTTACCTGGGGGTCGTGAGAAGTTGACGCGAGTAAAATTCATTTCAGTTTAGGAAATTGACAATGTTCTGTCCAGCCAAGTAATGCTTATTATCAATACTAACTGAGATAGGTTCGGTTACAAAGTAATGAACCTGTAAAGGGAATACATCTAGAAGTGCTTTGAGACGTCTCAAAAACATGATAAGGCCCTATATTAAAAGCAAGGTTTATTATTATCTATCGCAAAGAGTAAATAAAATAATTTGAAAAGGGAGCTGGATAAGTACTTCAAGCAGTTTTGTTTTAAACTCGACCAACTCACATCTTGTAATACAGTTATCTGCACAATTAAACTTCCCAAGTTCGACCTTTCTTCGCTGTCCTGCTGCAGTGACTTGATTTTGAACACGTGCACTACAATAGTCAGAAAATCTTTCAACATATTCAAGCAAACCAACATAATCAGCAAAATGCTGATTAGTTCTGCAGAAAGCAGTGGCTGATGTGATACTCCCAGCCCCCCCCCCTCAAATCACTCAGTGGTTAGGGTTTCGCACTGATGATCTGATCAGTTTAAACAAAGATAAACCTTCTAAAGAGCATCTTTCGTGGAAAAGTACTCATGGCAAAAAAAAACCTAGGGTCACAAGAATCCGAGGGTTTCTGGAATGCACAGCATCAGAAATTAACTGTTCAATTGGACTGCACAGCATTTCGTATTGGTACGTCAGCTATTTCATGTCCCTCCCCGTGCAGATCAGGACTCCCTAGCTGGGGAGGTGAACTGGAACTCACTCAGCTGAATCCTCCCTCTGCCAAGCATACCAACATTTTTCTAGAAGCTCAGTTTCAACTTTGAAATAGTTGCAATTTTTATTGCCCTTTCTATTTCCTCAACTGTCTTACTGGAAGCAGGGGGGAGGGGGAGGTAAGCAGAGTCTCCTTAGGTCTGAGCTGGCTCAAAGGTGATATAACAATAATCCGTGCATTTGATGCAGCGCATTATCACGTCTTTGAGACGTCTCAAAGCGCTTCGCAGAATATACTGTAAAGTGAATTGAGTGTATGTATTTGTGGGCCGAACGTGGCAGCCAATTGCGCACAGCAGCGTCCCACAAACAGTCGAGGACTGAAGTGACCACTTTTAAAGGGATTGGAAAAGCGATCCGCAGATCAATACGCTCATCAACAGAGCATCAGAGTCGAGCTAACCCCCTGCGATAGTCCCAGTTGTCTGGATCCTGAGCCAGCTGGATCCACAACACTCCCACGTCAGTACTGGTGACACAACAGAACAGCCCAGCCTAGCTTGTCAGCAGGACCTAGAGTGGTAAATGCACATGTGGAGCTCTCAATCTAGTTTGAATACTCTTGTGCATAGTGGCGGGTTTCTGCATGTGTCACACACTCGGATGACTAAAAAAAATATTCCTTGACCACTGGAACCGGGGGTGGGGGAAAGAGGCAGTGGGAAACGCAGAGACGGGGGAGGCAAGAAGCGGGGGTGAGGGGAGGGGAGAACCGGGGAAAGAACTGCTGACAAAAATCGATGGCAGTTTAAAATTTCTGTGAAATTCACGAGCAAAACTTTTACATTTTTTTTTGGAAAACATTTGACTGAGAGCCACGGTTGTCTACAGAAATTGAGTGTTGAGTCATGGGGAAAGAGAGCAACAGGTTAGACCTAGGGTTTGGCATTAACTTTGCGGAGTCACGGTAAGGAAACGGATCTGGTTCAGTGTTGTGTTTGCTCAGTAACAGCCACGAGCTCTGAGCTCTGCCAGCAACCAGTTCAACAGTCACCACATCTGACATCAGAAAAATACAATTATATGCTATAATTACAATCCTGTGCAGGTGAACATTAAGGGACTGTTTGAAAAGAGAAGGGAGTTTCTCTCTCCTAGTTTCTTGGCCAACAATTCTCCGCAAATAAAAATGATCACTCACTCCATGGCTCTTTGTGGGACGTTTTGCCCACAAAATACACACAGTCACTACACTTTGCAGTAAATCCTGTGAAATGCTTTGAGAAGTCTCGATGGAGTGATAAGGCGCTATATCAAATGCAAGGATTATTACTATTATTAAGGTATTATTATTATTATTAATAAAGGAAGGTGCAATCTCCAGTCTACGCTGGTAATTAATCTGAGTCAGGAGAGGATTGGGAGGTGTGCCTCAGTGTGCTATTCAGATTAAAATCAGATGGGGTTCCGGTTTCTGATCTCCCTCCAAGAACCTCCTGCTGAATGAACAGCGAGTGTGTGAGGCCTGAGTCAGGTTGCGATGCTTCCCATGGTGATACCTCCTGCTGACTGAAGCTCAATGCCTGGGCTCCTACACAGCCAGTTGGTGGACCAGAGAAAATACCTATTACGTACAGCCCATAGCGAGTGCTAGGAAAGAGAATCCGCTGTCACTGTGCGGTAACGAAAGGAAACCAAGGAACAAAACGAAAGCGAGAGAAGCACTTGACATTTCTGAGGCTGGTGAGAAATTGTAATAGATACTGAATGAGGGACATCCCCTTCTCCATACTCGGACTGAATATAGATATTTTACCGCTGACTTGATGGACTGAGGATAAAACAGTCAGTGTTTTCCATTATTAATAATAATGATCCTTGCGTTTGATATAGCGCTTTTCACGTCTTCTAGACGTCTCAAAGCGCTTCACAGAATATACTGTAAAGTGAATTGACCGTATATTTGTGGGTGAAACGTGGCAGCTAATTGCGCACAGCGGCATCGTGGATTGAAGTGACCAATTTATTATTGCTTTTTTTTCTTGAGGGATTATTATCAGACATGTGTACTAAGGAAACTTGCCCAAGGTTTCGCCCTGCCGGGAATCGAACCCAGGTCTCTCGCTTGCGAGGCGAGCGCTCTAACCACTGAGCTACAAGATTCCACGATGCGTGGTTTCTCAGCTTGGTTTGGAGACTCTTAAGCACGGCGATGGGTTTCCCCATGTGCGAGCCACCCGGCTGGCCAAAAAAAGAGATAGGCACCGAGAGTTATCTTCAAGCTCCAATCGCACACACTCAGCTTGATATTCCATTACACATCCTAGCTACCCTTTCCCACCTCGGACTGATTCATACAAGGCAGCAGCCGTGAGTCAGTGCTTTATGAGGTGGTGGAGGGGGGGGTGGTTGGGGGGGGAGGGGTGGTAAGGGGAGTGGGGTGAAAGGAGAAGGGGGAGTATGTGAAGCAGTGGCCTTGGAACTTCAACAGACTCCTGATGACTGCTCCGTCCTGTCCAGCCATCTCCCATCTCTGTCCTCTGCAGCCTGTGCTTTCACTGAAGACTTATTAAGCAAACCGTCTTAGGACTAGTTCACTGGCTAACATATTAAGAACCTGATTGCTTATGGTGCTATAAAACACGTGTTGAAACACTTGTAATCCATTGGCGCTGTCACGCGATGGCACATTGCCAGGTCCCTCTTTGCATTTTCAAAACACTGCAACCATGGTGACTGACTGGCTTCAACGGTGCAGAGTCTGAGTGTGTGTGTGTGTGTGTGTACCCCAAGGCAAAATGTATGCGTACGGATATCTGCAAATTCTTCCTCTTTCCGTGCAGCCTGAGCGGCTGGCAGTAAGAAGGCCGCTAACTGCTCATGTGTAGTGGGCGAGCTCAGTGTCAGCAACAGGCTGGAGGCCAAGTTAGAATGGGGGGAGCTTGTCTGGTGGAAAGTGCTTTCTTTCCTGTTATTACCTGCCTGGAAAACGGCAAATATTACATTGCAAATCAGCCGTATTGTTTCCTACCATCAGCCGTTGTTCCTGTTCTGTCAGATTGTTATAATCAAAGAGGAATCTGGCCCCCAAGTTCTGTTTGTGGGACACTGCTGTGCGCAATTGGCTGCTGCATTTCGTCCACATAATGTACAGTCAATTCACTTTGCAGTGTATTCTGCAAAGCGCTTTGAGACGTCTCGACAACGTGATAAGGCGCTGCATCAAATGCAAGGATTATTATTAATATTAGAAATTAAATCTAACCCCCTCCCTGTTAGAATTGTACTTGCAGAAGCGCAAGGTGGGTGAGAGGCATCTGTCATCACGACCCACGGATGCTACCATCAGTCACCTTGCTTTATCTTGTTCAAAGTGCAGCCTTTAGTTACATCACCCTTGAAGCAAGAATGATTTTGGGTGTGGGCGGGTTCAGCTGATATTCCTCAGTGTGACTGTTAGTCTCTAGCAGCCTCTGAAGTGTGCATTCAGTGCATA